CTATTCTCGCTAGACCTTCTCTGTCTAGCGCCTGTGCAGTGGGACAGTGAATCTGCGCCCAAGATTCTTATTCTCATTCTAATTTCCCCATGCTGGAGAACAAAGGTCGGATCGATATAGCCCATGCACCATGTCAACTCTCCCACCTCACCTTGTGACTCCCCTGAGCGTGAAGGAACGACAAGTGGCAGTTGTCAGTGTCGACCCTGGCCAGTCCTAACAGACAAAGAAGCCCGTCAAACAGGCCACCCTCGTTCGACTTGCATACCAACATACGTGCTCCGGAATTTCAGGAGATCGTTTTCTGTGATCTTCTTTTAAGTCTCCAACGAGACACAGATCTCCACCAGAGCCTCGCTGTTGCTGTTGCTGTTGCTGTTGCTGTCGCTGTTACTGTCGCTGTTACTGTCGGCAGATGGACATCTATCTACCACAAATCGTTGGGTTTGCACACATACTCTTCGAGACCTTCTTTCCCCACTGCAAGACATCGATGATTCACGCTGAACAGTCTGGATTCTCTGGCAGCAGTTGACATCCGCTGACATTGCACCAAGCAGTGAAAGCCTCGGCGAGAAAGACTTCCAGCCTTTACCTGCGGCCGTTTCCGATGTCCAAAGTGCACAACCCAACAGCTAGCCAGTTTAAGAGATTGTCTCAGATGAAATAAGAAGAGCATACCTATGGCATTAGACATTGACAGTTTCCGCCAACCAATTTTCCCTGTCGTTCCCACCCTGTTTTCTTTGACAGACACCCCAATCGATTCGATCGATCCTCCTTGCCCACAATTACTCATGCTGGGATTCACCGTAAACATCTAACGACGCATATACCTGAAGTCATCTCAGGATCATTGGCGAGCACATTGACAGCATTTTTGAACATCTTGATCAGGGAGGCGTCTCAGTCGTTTAGGATTTCTTGGGATAAGCAGACTGGCGTATGTTGATTTATGAGCAGTGTAAACATCGTGCAGTTGGGGTCAGGAGAGATCAGCCAACACTAGTCATGACTGGTTGCGAGCTTGTTGAGTTCTGTGACCCAGATTGCTATGCCATTCCATCTGACGGTCTAGTATCTACCATGGTGACGGGTGACGGTGACGGCACTTATCAAAGATCAAAGTTGCACAGTGCATGCAGGCTGGGTTGGAACAGTGTAAAGTTGCATGTGGACTACAACTGCAACTCCAACCTCATCTGCAGCATTCTATCCAGCTCCCGGTTCCATTGTGATGACCGTTAGAAGATGTCCATTGGCAAGGATGCTGTGTGTACGAGTAGGTTTGCTCCGCAACGGTTGTCACTGGTAGCTTGGTGCAGTGTCAAGTGTCATATGTCACAGATTGTGCCTGCGCAACCACACTACGTGAGTGAACAATGAATGATAAATGCTGAATACTGAATGAATGTTAAATGATTCCACTCGCCGCCATCGTGGGTCGGATCTATATTTTGTTCATTGCCGCATAAGTCTCGAGGTTCTCGGCATCTTGGGTCAACTTGGTCAGATGGTGCCATAGGGCTAGGGTGTGGTTCATACATAATAATCTATAATGTGTGGTAGAACTCCTTCGTTACAAATAGGTCCGAGATCTTCTGCCACGTGTCGTACCTATCCACCAGATACTGCCGAATACCTCCCAACTCGAACAAATTGATCGCACTGCCGTGCGGAAGCGTGTCTTTATTGTGCAAGTTGAGGTCTCGGCCCCAGTTTGCGCCGCACTACCGCCAGAATGCATCATAGATCAAGCATCTTGGGGGCGTTCAACTTGGGCGGAAGCTCCTGTAGCATCTGTACAGGTCAGGTTGATCTGTCACCCTCAGCCCAAGCATGGACAGCGAGGGCTTGGATGAGGTTACAAACTGGCATTCATTGACTACCTAGTAGTAGTACCAAGTATCAAAACGTACAGTAGACGTCAAGACTCTTAGACTCTATGTCTATGCTCAACAAGAGAACAATAACACTCCAGCCATGGCCGTCGATACCATCAACACCAATACACTTGTATGTGCCACCTAACGGTCTGCTCCAGAGGATACACCACTTCCTCCGGGTTGAGTCGCCGTCGCCGTCGCTGTCGCCCCAGCTGTAGAATGACTAGAGCCTGGTGACGGCTGAACGCCTGAGCCCGGGGTGACGGAGGCGGTGGGCGTGACAGACTGGAACATCGCGACTCACGACGGATTCATAGCCGGCCAGCACTCCACTGGCTTGGGCCAGCAGCTTTCTGCTCCTGTCAGTGCTTCTACCATTTACCATCGGCTATATCGTCCCCGAATACGTGAACAGACTGTAGTAGGTGGCTAGTCGAAGGCATTCTTGATCGCGTTGTTTAGCAGGGCGGCATACACTCAGGAACTCCTAAGCCCCGTTGTTACATCTTCTAGGGACCTGGCTGATCGATCATACTTCCACCCTAGCTTCGATCATCTAGTTACATTTAGATGACCCTTTCATGCCGAGTGGTATTCTCACTCACGTTTTGCCCACCATCCCGTTCCGCGACTTCGAGCCTATCCCGGACGTGCCAGCATTGGATCTAGACACTCTTTCATTTCTCATCACATCTAATTACAAGATGACCAAGCCAATTGCAAATGCGGTAGTCAGAGTGATTCCTGACGCAATGACGCTAGCGCCACCCATGTAGGCTTGAATGGTGGGCAATGTCGTTGGGGACGACGAGACTGAGAGCGTCGGTTTTTCGGCATTGCCCACCAGTCATGGTCGCTGTCGGACCAGCCTCGCCTGCGTGCACGAGGTTCGAGGTTCGAGCTGGTCGTAGGCTGATGGTAGTCTGACTTGAGGTCCAGGAAGTCTGACTGTACATGGACAATCAGTAATGATCAGAGTGGTGGCTTGCGTGAACGTGTATATCCTTGACCCTTGCACAACCTCGGCGGCATAAGGGCAGTACGTCGTGAGGGCGGTCTTGACGGTAGTCGTCCATGTATCCTCTGCGTCTCCAGTCGACGGTGACGGTGACGGTGACGGTGACGGTGACGTATTGGGACGGAGCTATCAGTGACGGACGGACTTGACGTAGTGTTCAACCAGGAATTGCCACCACCTTGGCAAGTCAAGGCATTCGAATCCCCTGGTAGTTGGAGGCTCTTGAAGCTATAAGAGTAGATAATCCACCTACGCTCCCGTCGAATTTGGTGCCATTGACTGCAGCTGTGGCGATGCTGTACGTCGTGGAATGGAATGTATAGTACTTGGACCCGCAGACCCTCGCCATCGACATGGTGGACTTGGAGATGATGGGTAGATTGTTCAGGAAAGACCGAGTCTAGGATACTGACGGGGCATGGATGCCGTGTTGATACCGCACATACTCGGTGCATACCTTAACTGTCTCCGTAGTGAAACGTCCCTTCGAGACGGTCCGTTTGATGACTCGTCCATCTGGGTCCGGGGACCGAGCCAGCATCTGATGACACCACAAGAAAATCCTATAAACACCACCCCACATACAAATCCATAATGCACTAGTAGTAGTCCTAGATTCCGAATCTATGGGTGACAAGTTGTCAATATTGTGCTGTGACCAAGGTGATTCAATCACCAAGAATGCAATGGCAAGGAGATACGATACGTAACCGGTGGGTACGTACGTTCGCACTGAGTGTGCTCACTCAGTCACTTGTTTTGTACAGCTCCATCCATTGACGAGACCGTCTGGTTCTTGTGCCTGCCAGGAGAAGAAGATGCGAACTCATGTCCTCCGATTTCGACTCCGAGGGTCTGGTCTGCCCTTGACCGAGGACTAGATTGGGCAATGGCTTGGCAAAGAACAAAAAGGCTCGCCACGCTGCAAACCAGCATCACTGCTGGCCAGGCTCCATTGAGTTGACTATGGCATCACTGCTTGCTCAATCCAGTTGCTTATGGTCAAGTAGGTACTTGAGTACAAGGGCCACAGACGTCTGGACAGGGTCAACACAGTCTTTTCCATATGGTTAAACCGACAGCCACGGCCAGGCCGTACAAAGAGTCTTGGTAAAATGTACAAGACTCTTAGGACCATCCACGAACTGTTAGGGAAAAGGCCTCCCTATCCACCTACCTAGTCAGGATGGCCAAAAGTCGAGTTGACTGTGGATGTGAGTTCAGCTAAGCCAGATATCCATCACATAAATCGTAGTCCTCGTTCTGGTCCTGGAGTTGAATGGATTCTGCACTAATCCTGGTTAGCATGGCAATCGACCGTCACGTGTGGCCTGGTGCTGGTGAGAGGTGCGAGATCGAGGCTCGGACAGGCCTTGTGTGTGTTGGGGTATGAGCTTCCCAGTACTAGGAGATTGACATGTTCATTTGCAATTCATGGCTAGCCACGCCCAGGTCGGACGTTTGGCATCCCGGATGGTTTGTCAGCCCTGATGTGTTCATGCTACGCCGTATGGAGTATCCGTACTCTGTACGGATACTCTCTACTCCGTAGTGTGCGGCAGGTCGTGAACAGTATAGGGTGGCTGGGGTGGCTGGGGTGGCTGGGGTGGCTGGGGTGGCTGGGGTGGCTGGGGTGGCTGGGGTGGCTGGGGTGGCTGGGGTAGAGGGGTAAAGGGGCAGAGGGGCAGATAGGTGTGGCGACGATGGGTAGTTGGGCATCCCCCCCCAAATTCCAGTTTCGCTCCAACTTTTCGACCTCTGTCTGTCGAGTTGCTATGAGGCGGGAGCTGGATCCTCGGGTGCTTGGGTGGTCGCTGCGGTGGAATCTGCCCATATATGTACCCACATAGTACCCGTCCCCATCGACGGCAAATGACATGTTCGATTTCGAAAAGCTCGAGTCGATGATGCAGCTAAGAGCACTGCTAGCTTGAAGGTCTCGGGCTTCACACACAGGCAGACAGAGAGAGCCTTATAGTCATACCGCCGCGACTAGCATAGCTGCCTGACTCCCCTGAGTATCGGACGCAGCGAGGTTCGAGTTCAAGGTTTAGGCAAACACTGTATCCTGGACAGTGAACCCCTCCTGGTGGTTGTCATAGGTCACTCCGACGACAGAGCAGCTTTTGCAGCCATTCCCGGGTTGAATACTGATTGATATCAGGTTCAATGCTCATACTAAACGTATCATCGAAGCCTGATGCGTCACCCAGGATCGTGGTCCCGATCACAACACCATCAGCTCCATTTCGGTCTTTGCAAGCAAGTTGAATGCTTGAGATGGCCGACTTTGGAACCGAGGTCGTCTTGAACCAGATCGCCCCGGAGAACTGCATATCGTCATCGCCCACGACGTTGAGCTGGAGATTGTACGGGTTGACATCCTATGTGGTTATGACGCTTGTCAAACCTACATGAGCAGGTACAGTATCGATCATTTTTGCGAGGATCGTCGAGCAAGTGGTCAAGTAAGACGCTGGGTCTGCCATGGACGACACCGTCTTGTTTCCATCAGAGGAGAAGATTTGTAGATCCGAACGGGATTCCACGTCTGGCCCAATCACCAGGGGTTCTGGGTTGTACCGTCGAGATAGCCAGCCGGTGACGACTTTGTTGTCATATGTACTGTTGGTGGAGTCAAAATCCGCGACTCCCAGAGCCGTAGTATTTGGCAAGACCATGGTAGGGTGTTTGGCCGAGTGAACGCCTCCCAGGGTTTGACCACCGGCGACGACTTGGATCATCTCTTGCGGAGCAAATCCCATGCATGCGAACTCGGCCGTCATCTTGACCGTGTCGTTTTTCGGGTCCGGAACGGCTTAGGGCCCGGCCTGGGTAGCATCGATCCGGCCGGCTTTCAACGGCACTGCAGGTCCCGCATAGACCCCCAAGGCAATGAGGTCTGACATGGTCGCCCGACTGTTGAAGTATCGCTTTTTTGCAGCAGGCTTGCGAAGATAAGTGGAGGCTTCCAACTCCCAGACGCCGCCAATCTTTCGATTCCGACTGTGCAAGTGTGGAGGAGCGACATCGAGGATCGAAAGCAGTTCCTGGTCAGAGCTGGAATGCAGGGAACCCCAGGTCACCAGGGCAGATATATCGCTTTTCCAACTGCTGGAAGGCTCCGGGCGCTGTGTACGGCCCCATAGTCAGTGCTGGTTCATGCTAACTGGCATGAATAGAATACTTGCTCGCGTTGACCATAGTTAAGAGCCTACCATTCTGCTGGTCACAATTCGTGCCATGTAAAAGCCAAACATCGAGGCGAAAGCCCTCGTTCACCGACTGTGAATCTAGTTGGACGTTATGGCATCAGAATCTTCGCGCGTGCAAATCAGCTGTGTGAGACGTCTGTCAAGACCAGGCGAAAACACCTTCCGACCGCCATGGTATCACCGCAACACCATGTCCGAGTTCATGGGCCTCAGAAAAAGATCTCGGAACTGTCGGCACTGGTCTTGAAGGTTGTCTCGAGCTTCTCGGAACTGTTGATACTGTTCTGAAGACTCTCTTGACCTCCTCGGAACGGCCAAGCGAAGGCGGCCTGGTTGATCATGGACGGCATCTAGGGTCCTGATTCGGGTCATTCTGCGTCAGGACGATTCGGCCCTGCCGCTGTGCTTGACGGCGCGGGTCGCGGCCAGCAACGAAGTCCGAGGTGTCCAAGCAAGTCTCTAATGGGCCAGTCCATGCTGTACATCATCTAGCTTTCAACGAGGCTTCAATCTTCGTCTCGTGGTGATCCGGAGGAAACTGTTGCGGAAGCTGTTGGGTCACCTGTCCTCCCTCTTGCCTGTGTATATTTCGGGTAGCGGGAGGGCGGGATTGACGAGTATTTGGTGGACTAGGTCTGACGGGCATTGGTTGACTGGGTTCGATGGAAATCTGGTGGACTGGGGTTACCGAAGTAGTCGAGGAGCCTCTCGATTGAGTTGTAGACGTGTTGTGTCTTGTCAGGCGGGATATGATCTTGGTCAAGTTGGACCATGGAGAGGGCGAACCGTATGCTGTATTGGTCATCCTCTTTCTGCCGATTCGAAGGGTAGTTAGTAGAGGAGCCTCTGGATAGGCGGGATAGGGTCTTGGTCAGGTCGAACCACGGAGACGACGAACGACATGCTGTATTGATCATTGTCTTTCTGCCGATTCGACAGTGACACCGTTAGCAGGTAGCCTCGTTCAATCGTGGGCGGACGGACGAAGGATACGAAGCTCTGTTACTGTCTTCACGGAGGGGAGGGTCATGCTTGGACATGGAAAAGAGGTCGAAAAGCCAAACCGGGATTTTCTAGCCACCTACAACGTGTGTGTCAGGAAGCAAGGGTCTGTCCCGCCCCAGTAGTAGTCCGGATCATGAGGGCTCAAGTTTCGATTCCATCTTCGCCACTGTTCGAGGGCTCGAGTTTCAATTCGATCTTCGTCATTGTATGGTCCGCCAGCTCGAGGTTGATCTTGTCGAGTCTGAACAGGGAGACGAATGGCTCGAGCCCGTCCCCTCGGTTCGGCAGTCGTGAGATGGATGGGTTCTGCCAGAAAGTCACCAACCAGGATCTCTCCATTTCCATATGTTGCCATGACACCATAAAGGCCAATCAATAGTTGAGGATCACTTTGATGTGCTATATTGACCTGTCTTGTGCCACGTTGACTGTGCAATATTGACCTGTCAAGCTTGTCCCAAGTTGACCTGTCGAGGCTGGGCTGAACCCCGAAGGCACGATCGATGGATGTGGGGTGTAGGAACTCAGAGCCTTCAAAGCCTTTATGTTCAGTGTAGAAACCAAAGCAAAGACCATATCGAGAGGCGTGATGATGATCGATTGTCAAGGGGCAGCACTGTGGTACAACAATCAACGGGACAAGGCTATCAAAGAAAATGCGGGGCTGTACAGAAGAGGCAGCGCAGGAAGGGGAGCAGGAAGCGCAGGCAGCAGGCGGTGATTCACACATAATCACATTCACATTCAGTCACCGCCACAGTCACCGCCACAGCCTCAGCCACAGTCACGTTTGTTGTGTGTTCTGGGCGATGATTCCTTTGTGTGGCATTGTCGCCGTGTGGCAGCTGAGTTTGAGATCCGGATGGATATGACCAACAAACATGCTCTACTGAGGATACCAAAAGAGGCGACAAAGCATCTGTGAGGCAAGGCCTGCCAACCTCACGGCTGCCTGCCATGTCATCGTCTGTGACAGCTGTGACAGCAGTGACAGCTGTGACATCTGTGGGATCCGAGACAATCGCACAGAAAATAGTAAAAAATGCAGGTTGCAGGTTGCAGGTTGCAAGTTGCAAGTTGCAGATTACAGAGTACAGAGTTACAGGTAGTGAGATGTAAAAGTTGCAAGATGCACTATGCCTTCTTGTTTCAGTAGGTAACGAAGGACTTGGACATGGTTGTGCCAGACACTCTTGTCGAGCATCAGCTCGAGAACAGTACGAAGAACATCGAGTACGTCGACATCTAGCGTATCTTCAACATCTTCTCTGTCAAGTGTGACAGGCTCGTCAACTTCAATAACCAGTCTCGGGGTCTCCACCTGCTGCTGTCCAGCCAGGCGACGGTTTGGCACTCTTTGACTACGTCGTGGTTGGCCGGGAGCTCGAAGTGGAAGAAGTCAAACGGTCAAGGTAGACTTGACCATTGTCGCCGGTGTCTTGATCATCGCGCGAGCACTACAGGAGGCTGTGTCGCGATGTCTAGACAAGCAGCAAACATCTAGAGTATATGATTGAATTGACCTTGTATTTGTGGCAGCAGACGCTAACTTCTGAGATTCAATTTGGACCGTCCTCACCATTTTGTTTAGAACTTGGTCGAGTGATGTCGAATGTCCAGGCTCGAGAGACTCGACATCAGCGGATGCTGGGTTGTGTTGTCCCACGTTTCCTAACATATGTTCTGAACAACAGCGATCAGGATAGTCGGAGAAATTGCATGACAGCATGACACCAAAACGGCCCACTTGCGTAAGAAAATACGACGCAGGCTGTTTTTCAGTCCCAGTGAGCCAATCTTGCACAAACTGGTAAAACTCTCCTTTTCCATTCTGTCATCTATTTCCCACCGTACCGAAATCCAAGTTGCAGTGACTCAAACCAGGGTCTCGGCAACAATCCCAAGCTACAACCAGACCGCAGTTGCGGCGCCTGTACCTCAGTCCAATTTGGTGGTGCAGAGAAACTCACTCTAGCGCAGATGCCCGAAGCAGGGACTTGGAAGGTGAGAAGTGCCTGCACTCGTCGTCGCTGCGTTCCTGACGAGTTTTGACAATTCTGCTGTGACAATATATCGCTGTGGGCTTTTCACGAAAGCAGAAGCAGATTCCTCCGCCACGAGAAGGCTGGTGTTGTGGTTGCGGCGCTGGAGGGCCGTTGCTTCAGTACATCAAAGAGAGGGATCGCCATTGGCTCGTCCACCAACTGTTCAACTCAACAGGTTTTTCGAGATGGTCTGGCTAAGCCCGCCACCCACCGAGTGACTTTGAATAGTTTCGCGTCTTGCCACAATGGCCGACTGATATGGGATGCCTAACTTGCCAGGCCAAGCTCAGGTCTCAGAAGCCGTACCGTGCGGGCTCAAGCTGTCTCATTCATCCTGCAGAGTAAGGCCATGATTACTCTTAGAGCATGGCCTCGTACATGGGATGTTCTTTACTTCTTTGATTGTAGTGACATGCATCCACAGCAGGCCGCCGATAAAGATAATACGCCATCAACTAATGTTCTGCTCTTATTTCCAAACACGGACACTGGGCAGCTGACTAGACGACCCGACTGTCGTAAGTCACAGGTTTAGTCTTATCGTGACTGCGAGACCGATCATGAATTCGCCTGGACCTTGGTAGTGGATGGGTTGCGGGTTGCAAGTTCAGTAAAATTTACAGGTCGCAGGTTGCAACTTGCAGCCTACATACAGTCCAGCACCACTGGTGGTCCCACCTGATGCAACTCTGCTCTACAGTATCCGTACTCTGTACTCCGTAGTCTGCAACTCGCACCTTGAACTTGCAACTTGCTCCTTACAACTTTGACTTGCAACTTGCAACCTATAACTTTTACTCGCAGGTTACAGGTAATAGGTTACAGGTTGCAGGTTGTAAGGTGCAGGTTCGATGCTCATCGTGTCTCATACACGGATCACTCTCCCAGCATCGAGCGTAAGAATTCGGCCAGATTAACTATAATCCAAGTTAGTGCGGTGCGGACTAGTGTTAAACTTGGTGCCCTGAGACAGTCCGCCACCCAGCTTTCTCCCAGGCAAGTTGTAAGGTGCAAGTTCAAGCAGGTCATAAGACGAAGCTCGTTATCCGCAATCATCAGCGCCCACCCCCTCGACAAGAGGAGAGCCATCCATTGCGACTAGAGCATCTCCGTAGTCTGGTTGACCGATATCCTGAATACCTACCTACATCCAGAAAAGCTTCATCTTTCGCTGGGATGGAAGTGAATTCGGATTTGACATTCGAGACATGCAATCGTCTCTCGATGTTGATCTCAGTCATATGATACATGTACTCTTGGTTCGCGATTACAGTTACAGGGTTCCTCCACGATCTGTGCAGCAGAGTGTCTGATGCCGATGCTGCCTGATTCCTGTAAGACATGAACATGGTGGTCTCTTTGAACACGGTGGCCTCTACGCAACATAAGATGATCTGGGAATCTGGAGATGCCGATGCTGTTTGGGTGGTCTCAGACGGAATCTGTCTTGGGAATACCAGATCGGATCTCTTTGACGATGACGGGCACGCTAGATCAGACCTCGCGGGCTGGCATGGAAAATGGACGGTACGAGTATCACTCGGTACGGAGTACTCGAGTCTACATGGATCGGGTTGCGGGGGGGAGGGGGATGCCTGAGTACACGGTTGCCGTGAGTCTTAGTCACGTGGGGTCGGCGAGAGGAGAACGGCGGCCGCCTTGGAGTCAACAATATGTTTCTGGTCAAGCTGAACAGGCCTCGAACGGCCCCAGTAGCCGAGCTACGGGTGACGTCTTGCCTGCAAAGGGAGGTGGTTTCGCGCCAGCAGGGTACGGGGGGAGGGCCCCGACTTGGACGAGAAAGTGGAAGACCGATTGCAGGACATCTACGGAGTACAGCATGTCTGAAGTTGTGGTAGATGATTGGAGGGTTGATAGAATTGAAAGGATACGAGTAGGATGGATGATGTGATAAGGAATGGGATGGGAAAGTGGTATGGAAAACAGGATGTGGGATAGGATAGGAATGTGGGATCGAAAACAAACGCGAGGTAG